TTTTAAAACTGTTTTTAACTGTATTTCATGTTTTATGTTTTTCTGTATTTGACAATTTTTAATGAAGATATTTGAGTTTTTATGTTTTTTTATCTTGGCACGAAGTGAGAACTGAATTAATTGAAAATATATCTTTTATGAAGTTCGAGGAACTAAGCATAAATGAAATGCTGCAAAAAATGTGTTTAATTTAATAGGCTATACAAGAAAGTTGTGGTGTTCATGTCGGATTTTATATTTAGTAAAAGAGAGTTTTAGCCTTTCTTAAAGCTATATTTTTTATATCGTGATTAGTATAATTTTGGACAAAATTTATGAAACATTATTTAATGTTTGAGTTGGTAGCTGATTTTAAGATAAAGATGTAATTTTGTTAAAATTCTACAATAAAAAAAGAAAATTTAACTTAATATCTCTACATATAATAAAAGAAAGAGTCTGTCTGTATGTGTGTTTCTTTCGTTCGCGTTGCACGTAAGCTAATAGACCCACGGCTACGAAATTTGGTACATAGGTGCATCTAGACAAAAGCCAGTGCACTTCGAAGCAATTTTTTCGAAATTTGAATTAGTTTTTTTATGTTATGTTTTGTGACAAAATCGCGTCATTTTGAGACATAATGGGCTATAGGAAAGCGAGATTTTACTCTACACACTCCATTTTCACATCATCATGAAACGTAGGCACTTAGCTAGTTTACGAACTTAAAATAAATTTCGTGTTTCAATAAATCGATTCACGAATTTATTTAACAAAGGGAGCTTAACATCTTTTCAACGGGATTTTTTCTAAAAAAGTTTATTTTAAAAAATGTACAGTTTATTTTTCTTTGATTTTTGGACACGTTAAACTTTCATCCTGGCTACTGCTTTTGCAAAAAGAATTTTGAAAAAAAAATGATAATATTTTGTATTTTTAAAAAAATTTTTTAAATGAAGCTTCCGAGTACACTTCTCACATCTCACATCTTTAAAAATATGATTTTAGCAACAATTTTCCTTTCTTATTGTTGATAGATTTTTCATGAAATCGCATTATTTTGAATAGTTTCATTCTTCTAGAAATATGGGTTTGGCAACAATTTTTCATCGTATTTCTTATGTCACTGTTTTTAAGAAATTGGCATATTTTATTGTCATTTTTTATATATATATAATACATTTTTATTTATTTATTTATTTATTTTTGATAAAGTTATTCTGCAGAGTAAAATTCTGCGTGGAATTTTTTGTTTTGAGTTTCTTCCATGATATTTTTTTTGCTTATTTCACTATTTGTAAGATATTGAAAAGTTTTCCTGATTTTTTTTCTTCAATGGAAAGTTGGTTAATTTTTTTTTATTATGATAATAAATATTTGTATTAAGGGATATAGCTTATTTCATTGTAATTTTTTTCTCTTGAAAAATATAAGATATAATATCATTAATTATACTTTGCTTTTCAGAATTTTTTTTTTTTTTTTTTTTTTTTTTTTTTTTGTATTCTTTATGTTATTTTATTGCTCATTTCACCGTTTTTTTTGAGATCTATTTAAAAGTTTTGAGTGATTTTTTTAGGAAACGAAAGTTCTTAAAAGTTCTTAATTCCCTTTATACCATTTGAGTTCTTAAGATTTGGCAAAGGGAAGTTGGTTAATTTATTTATTAGGATAATTAATATTTGTATTAAGGGATATTGCTTATTTCATTGTTTTTGTTCAAGTTTGCTGTTCATTGCAAATTCAACATTCTAATTTCTATTGCATCAACTCTGCTATGTCTTTTTCATCACATGTATGTAGATCCTTCTTATTTTTTGGATTGTTTAGGTGCATATTTTCTTCATTTGCATCATAAAAATAAGTAAGATAAATTAGATTTTCATAGTTATTTTAGTTCAATGTAATTTTAATTTATGTGCAAAAGGTTAAGAAAAAGGTGTTTTATAAATGATTTGTTTTCCAATGAGATCTATATCTAATAATAATTTTTATTATATTGATTTTTTTATTATAAATATGATACTTCTTACTGTAGTCCTTTTTACTTTCTTGTATGAAGTAAAGGAAATATTGTAATCACGAAAATTTTTGGGTATCATATTTCAATGAAAATATCCATTCTGACTGCTATTGAATGCACTTTAACGATGTTTTTGCATGACACCTGTACATAAGGAATAAAGGACATAAAAAGGACAAAATGAAGGATAAAAAAAATGAATTATAAAACAGATTTAAAATAGATTCAGAAGAGACTTTTTTCATGATGTCTATGTATACTTACGTATGTATGTATCATGCGTAACTCAAAAACGAGTAGCCTCAGAAAGTTAAAATTATGTATATGGGACTTCTATAACATGAAGTTGTGCACCTCCCTTTTTAGTTGCAATCGACTGCTATAAGTTGGTAAATTGTGCATTTTTTGCTTTAAAAATGATTGAATTATGTTGTTCTTGTCTTCCAGTTAAGGTTTTTATACCTTTAGTTAATCTGCATGCAGTAGTTGTAGAATTATCAACAATTTGGAAGTTTAGTGTGATTAAGCCTAATTTTTTTAACCCCTTCGAGCCGGGTAGTGAAAACGCGCGCTTATTGCAGAGGCCGGCAGTGTCTTCCGCGAGTGTCTCTCCAGGGCCGGGGGCTTTTTTTGCTACTAAGCCTAAATCCATGAAATTTCCGAAGTATCAACGCATTGTTTAATAATGCTCTATAGAGATTATTTAAACGGCTTATGCTTTATAGATATTTTTATATATATACTTTAATTACCTTATTTCTTGTTTAAATGCATATTTTACACATTTTATTTTAATTACTCACCATTTTATGACTTTTAACATTATACATCTGAAAACTAAATATATTACTTAAAATTCTCTTTTCGTATGAAAAATTTGAAAACAGGGATCTACACACAGTCCTACATTACATTCCTTGAACTCGTAATAACTCATTTGCCGTTTTGGAGGATTTTTCTGGGAATGTGAACAAACGAAGAATCGTCGTCTCATTTTCTTATCAGTCTCTTCTGAACAAAGTTTTGGAAAATGTCTTTCAGTTAATGTTTCAGAATCAATATCTGAAATATTTTGCATCATTTCTGCTATTTCATGCTCTGTTAAACATTTTTGACGCTTGGACATTGCAACGGTAAAAACAGAAAGAATTCACGTCTAACAATATCTAATTATTTCTAAAAAAACTAAACTGTAAACTGTAAACGAAATACTCAACGCTTTAGCGCATATAAAACATCTACTTACAATAAACAACTATCACGTGCGAATAAAGTGCGATTTATAGAGACGTCATAAATCACGCCATTCGGAAACATTTAGTTCCCCGTTTGTTTATATAATCAAAAACACATGTATGTGAGTCATGCTTCTCTCATTTCGAGTAGAAGGTCTAATGTACATGTATCTGAAACCATATGGATATACAGTGCCATCTTGTGGCAGAAATTATAGTTTCTAAAACGTTCCAGGGTACTGGCACAAATACGTGACAGTCGGTAGTAAACGGGAAAATGCTCTGGCACGCCTGCGTGTCGGCCGGTAGGTGAGTGTGTTCGTTGCTGGCACGTAGACGTGACAGTCGGTGCGAAGGGGTTAACCGTAGTAGCCATATTTGTTTACATTTGAAACTTAACAGAATAGTGAATGAAGTCAGTTTCTGCACTTTATATGTCTTTTTGCCGAATGGGACCAAAAGTAAACTTTCAGTTTTGTGCACCAAAAAATTTTCCTTCTTGCCTGCTGGCTGAATTGCTTCTTTTTGCATAGAAACTCTAATTTAAATTGTAAAAATTGTTTTATATTTTCCAATATATTTTTCAATTTTTAATAAACATATTTTGAGATTTTATGTATTTTTGCCTTCCCGCTAAGTGAGAACTGAATTAATTGAATAAGAAAATATAACTCTAATCAAATTCGAGGAAATAAGTTTAAATCAAGTGCAGCAAAATGTGCGTATAATTTAATATTCCATACAAGGAAGTCATGTGGTATATACATCAGATTTTTTACTTTTTGAAAAGAAACATTTGAACATTTGTCATCTACAAAAGTAATTATAATTTTATTTTTTATTGATATATGCATATAATAAGGGGCAATTTGCCCAGACGGACTATTAATTTAATTTTGGCATTTTGCATTGATTCACTATAAACGTTGATTTACATTTCAAACTGTTGCCACCAAATATTAGAGCCCTGTATTACATTAAAAAAATTAAATAATGAAGGATCTGCATAAATGTATGTATGTTTCTCGCATTGTGATAAAACAACGGTACCTAGAGCCATCAAGTTTTGAATAATGTACATTTCCACTTGAATATAGATGTCTGGAATTTAGTTTATTATCTATTTCTTATTTTGTGAAACTTAAAAGAATCTTTTATTAACAAAATCAACGATTTCAAAGTGAGTAATGGCAAAACTATACAAAAAGTAAATAAATAAATAAATAATTTTTTTTTTATTTCCAGCACGCGAGACTGTGTATCAGAAATTCTTAAGGATATGCTCATTTTAAAATTATTTTGTGATATTGCTGTTAAACTGAATTTTGTTTTTTAAATGTGAAGAATGTGATATTTAATAAATAAACGTAATGCACAAAACATTAAAAAAAGTGTCCCTTTGAGCAAAATGTAAAATCTGAATTCAGAATTTACATTACACCATCTGAAAGCTTTCAGATTTTATTTATTTATTTATTATTATTTATTTATTTGCAAATGCATAGATTTTAACACTGAAGCTATTAGTCATCATGCTCCCAATACTTTTGGATTACAGAAATAAAACCACTAAGTGTGGAATACACATTTAAATGTTCTCTGTCCATAGGTTGGCCAGAGGCACAAAGGGAACTCTGGAGAATTCCTGAATTTCTGTACATCCATTAATCTGTCTGATTAATTTCTGTAATATAATTGTTTATTTGCATAATTAGTTAATGTAAAAAGTGATAAGCTATATTCATTGTTATTTTTCTTTACAGGAACAATATATGCTTGCTCATAGAGCTGTTGCTACTATGTTTGAGCAACAGCTGAATGTTATAGATAATCATACATATGAAAATATTGATGAAGATGGTGAACCTCTAATGTGGAAAGAGTTGATGAAGGTTTAAAAAAATTTCCTCTTGATTTTCTTTTAAATCTTCTGTATTTAGTACTAAATTCTGTCAAAGAAAGACGTAATGTTCATTAAAGTTATATTTTATGCATTTTACTTGAATAAATTTTGTTTTACACTTTGAATAATTTTAATTATTATTTATTATGAATATTGATATGAATTATTATTATATTATTTGATATTTTAGAATAAAGGTTGTTCTTTAAATAAAGAAATTGTACAGGAAGAAAACATTGACAGAATCAGAACAGAAAGTCAGCAGTCTGGATCAGAATGTAAGAAATATTTTTCATCTTGTTTCAGTTCATTTAAATAAAACGTAAGAATCATGCTTTATTTTCCTTGTACATTTTTCCTTGAACAAAATTTACTTTTTCATAGGAAATGAAGATCTTTATTTTCTGAACTAAATTTATTTACATACTTTTTATTACACTAAAAATTCTGTAATGTATAGTTTTTGTTATTTGATGTATTTATGCATGATACTTCATGTAACTAATTCATTGCATTGTAATAATATATTTAAGAAGTTCATTTTAGCTAAAATCTCTTCTTGAGAGCTAATAATTTCATTTTCTCTAGCTAATTATCAGACTTAAAATATTGTGAATATAGTGTAGATTACATGTTGGCAATGTTAATGGACTTTGAATTATGTTTTGGTCAGTTTTTGCTCATCTCAGACATTAATATTGTCTGAACTGAAAAGTTAAGTTCATCAAGGATTTTTTAAAAATATTTTCAAACTGAGAATCATATTTTTATGCTTAAGTTTATTATTATTATTTTAGTATTTTCTTATGTATCTGTATGTCTTAAAAATGTACTTTTAAATTATAAATTATAATTTTTGATTTTTGTATATAATAAGAGTATTTGTTTTCTTTTTATAAGGTTCTCCACTTAGTGAAACTAAAGAGAAGGCCCCTTCAGATGATGATAGCTCTCAAAGTAAAACTGTTAGTAGTGTTGTTTTAAATCACAGATCATCAGTTGATGCTAGTCTTTCAAAAGTTAGCTCTGATTCCATTATTAATAGCAGTAAAAGCAGTGAATGCAGTTTCTCTCGTAACTCATGCTTATCACAACATACGAGTGAAGATACAATCCCATTTATTGATGAAGATGAAATATATGTTAGACCAAATTGTGGTAGAGCCTATCTAGATATTCCCAGTGTTGGTAGTTTTTCCAAGTTAATAAATTCTTTTGATCCATTTGTTGATAAAGTGTCATTAGGAACAGATGACAGTAGTCCTGAAGGTGATGTAAATCTTTTTCCTGGGAACGAATCTGATTGTCCGTCTTTTCAATTAAATAATATCAAATATGAAACAAAAGTCTCTAATTTCTTAAAAAGAAAGGAAATAGCAGGTACATGTGTTGATACTGAAGATAAACCATTGCACGAGCTGAGTAATTGTATCTTACACATGAATAGTGGGCATTCTAGCAAAACCATTTTAAATAACCGAGGAAGTTATCCATCTTATTCATCAAAAACTGAATCTGCTTTTTCAGATTTAATAGAGGATGTTTCTGTAGAAAATACAGAATCCTGTGAAACCCAGAAAAAAGTTGGTAAAGCTACTGTGGTGCGAAGACCTAGCATTTCTAAATTGAAAGCACTATTTGAAAGATCAAGTATTTACAGAAATTCTACTGATGGCTCTAAGCGCTCTTTGTTCAGACATAACTCTCAACATGTTTCAAGAGCTGGATCTGCCCCTCCTTCACTTAATTGTATGGATAAAAATTCAGCACATGAAAGAGAATCAATCCTTATGATGGTGACAAGAAAATTCCGTTCCTCTTCAGTTAGATCAGAAAGGGAAATGAATTCTAAACCACATGATAAATCTGTGCATAGAAAATCAGGTACTGGTACGATGAAGAACTTTAAAGACAGTTTAAATACATTGTCAAGGACTGTATCTTTTAATTTAAGTAAAACTTTTCAAAGTTATACACCTTCAAAATCGAAGGCTGAAAAGTCAGCAACTTCAATAAAACATCATGTTACTTGCATTAATGAAACACCACCTTTAGTCAGTTATAAACCCAAGACACCAGATTCTGATCCAATGGGGAAATCCATGTGGTATGATAAATCATCTTTTCCTCGTGTTGTAGCTATAGTCAAACCAACTGAAAAAATTGATGATTGCTCTTCCCCTCCTCCTCCTCCTCCTCCTCCCCCTCCCCCTAAAGATACAGCAAATAAGCAGACTATAGAAAAGGATAAGCATAATGATCTACTCTCTACTTGTATCAGTAAACCTCCCAAACTCTTGCCTTTCTTCAGTAATTTAAATAAAAATGAATGCAAGGATGTATCTACAATGTGGTATAGTGAAGCAGATGATGTGACAACTTCTGAACTTACAGAAAACAAAGCAGTACCAATTTATACAAATTTTGAATCATCTACCTTGCAGACTAAGAGCTCTATTAAAAAGCCTGGTCATAAGGTGTTGCCATTTATACAGTCTATCACACCTTGGAAGAAAAGTCTCAAAACCCCATTGAGTAGTCCAGAAAGTCCAAAAAATTTTGATGCTAGGGAACCAGATTCCAATCTTCAAGTATGCAATTCTAAATTTTATACAGAAGTTAAAGATGACCAGAAACTTCCCAAAGTAGCAGCAGAGATTGAAGATATCAAAAATATCTTGCCGTGTCCTGTTCCAGAAGAAATTATTCCAATTAATCCAAAAACTGAAAAAGGGTTTTGGCCTTCTGGTTCTGTGACATCAACTGGAAAATCTGACACTAAACAGGAGAAAGTATTAATAAATCATACTGAACTTCAAGATATTTTAACTACAGAAAAGGAGGTAGCTGTGACAGTCACTGAAACAGATGTGATTGTGGAACAAAAAAAGTTAGATTCCAAACAACTGCTTGAACAATCTGCTGTTACCATTAAAAATTTGGAATCTGAATCCAAAGACTCATTAAAAATGTCATCACAAAAATCTGCAATTTTGAAAGAAAGCAATGTCAGTGATATAACAGTGATGCCTAAACTAGAAATTGATGTTATTGAAAAGCAGACTACAATAGAACATGATCAACCTCCTGCTATACCCAAGAAAATGCTTATTGGAAAAAATCGAAATTTTGAATTTCAGAACTATCCAAAAGAAAAGAAAATTGAAGATAATGATAACTTATCTGGAGTCCAAAATTCTTTATTGTCTAATGAAACTGGATTTACTTCAAACGCTTCCAATTTAACAGTTAACACAAACGCTGCACCAGCAGAAAAAAGTGATGCTTATATTAATGTCAATATTACTGCGAAGAAAAATATTGAACAGATTGAAAATACTCTGAAGAAATTTCCTCGTGGTGCAATTATTGATTTGACATCCAGAGAATCATATTCCATGGAGGAAGAACTTGCAAATGCTGTTAAGCAATTATCAGAATCTTCTGAAAAGAAGAAGACAACCATCTTAAAAAGTCATTCTAAATTTCCAGGTTATGAAGTGATATGGCCAGAAGAAAAGTATTCAGAAATAATCCAGCTGCAAAAATCAGGTGGTGCAGTTTTATCTCGAGGTAGAAAAATGCCAGATGTACCAAAAGCTGAAGCAGAACTTCTAACCAGAGCTAAAACTGGTGTTTGTTATAGTCCACCTTTAAGACGCAGTTGTAACTCAGTATTACATCTTTCAAAATCTCAATCTTGCTCTAGCTTAAATTGGCATGAACCAGATGATATAATAGAAGCATCTACAGAACAGACAGTAACTGGCACTAAGAAACTTGTGGATGAAGCTGCCGTAGAATTAAATGCACTTCTTAATCAACTAACATCTAAAACATTAACAGAAGATAATAATTTTGTTTCTGATGTGAAAAATGATTCTCACGGTGTACCAGCACTGGTAACAAATAATAATATTTCATTTACAGAGCAAAGTAATAAGGAAAGTATGATGGTCCATTCTGTAACTTTAGTCTCTAAATCATCAGCTGTAGATAGCTGTGCGAAGGAAGAAGAGATAATTTTTCATTTTCCTCCACCCCCACCTTTACCTCCTCCTCCAGATAATGATCAGCCATCAGAAAGTTTTAATATAATATGCAAGAATGGCTCATTGATTGTATCAGAGTCTAATATAAATAATGCATCAGCAGCAAATGGTTCAAGTGCCAGAAATGCAGATAGTCTGAAAGGTAAATCAGAACAAAATTTTCCTAAACCATCCCCACGAAAAAGTAAGCAGGTTGGTGCTTTACAACGATCTGCTTCTTACACTATGCTTTCTATTCCACAAAAAGTTACCAAAGGCTATGAAAATATATTTTTAGATAAATATCAAACCATATCACATCTTCAGGTAAATTCAAAAGCTGATAAAAGTAAACAAAACAATAAAAAAGGAAATACTATAGTGCCAAACATTGAATCTTCTAGGACAGAGTATGAACAAAAACTTCCAAATAAAATGCCAAATTATGTAAATATTAATGAATTAGTTAAAGTCTCAGATTTAAAGGTATATGATAGTAAACAAATTCAAAATAATGATGATTCACAGTCAGATCAAAATGAATTATTCAAATGTCCTCCTCCGCCTGCAGTTAAAAGTACTGTTGTGCAGCAGAGTGATTCAGAAAGAAGTGGAATTTATGGTAAAATATGTAAAATTAAAGATGGGAAAGTTAATATAGAAAATGCCTCTTTAAAACAGTATTGTTTTGATAATAAAATTCATTCAGTTGAGATGAAAAGGAAAAATATTCCTTCAAAAAAATGCGAACGAGCTCCTTTGCCCCCTGATATTAAGTTAAAGCTTGAAGATTTGCCAAGTAAAATAACTTCATCATCTAAAAAACTTCCTTCCAGGAAACTAGAAAAAGCACCTCTTCCACCACCTTTACTACAAAAAAGTGCTTCTACTATTGCAGTTCCAAAGAAAATATCTAGTTCTCAGCAGTACACAAATCTTCATTCATTACAATCTCATCCTTCAGATGAGCCCTATAAACTGCCAGCTCTTCGTGAGAATATACCTAATGTCATGAACTATCCTGAACCATCTAATAGGAAGGCTATAAATAATGATATACTTAAAAAGACTTTTTCTGGCCGTGGTTTATCTCATTCACAATCAGATGTTAGTGTATATCGGGCATTAAAGGAACAAAAAGCTGAGTCTATGCGCCAAAAACAGAAAGTGTCTGATATCAAGCCAGTGCTTATGAACACTGTGAAACAAACTAGAAATTTTCCAAGTGTTAGTAGCAGTGATAGTGATGGTAGTTATGAACATATCTTTTTGACTAAATCCACTGAACAACGCTTACCAAAAATAAATCTTACTGAACAAAAGGATCTGAACTCAATAAAGCAGTATAGAAAAGAAATTCCTGTTGCTCCACCGAGATCAAAAAGGAGAAGTACAATGGAAATACAGTATGCTAAGGTGAAAGCAAAAGAAGGTATATTTAAATCAATTTTAATTTAATGTGAACTTTTATTTTTTTTAATATGTATTTAACATTAATGTTTTTAGAGTAGCGCTTCTTAAATTTTCTTTGGTGCTCTTCTGTTATCAGGACTGGATTCAGAAATCTCTGTTTGTATCTGCATATATGTGCATGCATACACACATATACATATGCATACATAAATGTCCTTTTTTATCATTGAATTTTTTTTTTTTGTAATTTCAGGTATTAAATATAAAATAAAAATAAAAATTTTCCTATAAATAAATTATGTTTTGCTGAATAATATATATATGCATGGAAAGAAGTAGGTCTAAGATTTTTTTCAGTAAACCCTTACTGAACGGGAACTTGTGGAACTCAGTGTCGCATGTATGCATTATATTAATTTTGTCCATTTAATTTATCAAATGCAAAAATTTCAATTAAACATGGTATGCTAACTTGCATCAGCTGCATTGCGACAGTCCTCTTTAATGACTAGTTTGAAAATTCATTCAGTAAAAAAGTCAAATATTACTTAGCCAAAACCTGAGCTTTAAAGTTATCATAATTCTCGTCAATGTTCCAGCACAGGGTACTGAAGGCCTCATTGCATTCAAATGTAGAGGTTTTATTCCTTCCAAGAGAACACCACTTACTTAATCCAATCAATGGTTCAAGGAATCATAAAAACGTTATGTCAGACATGTTTACATCCCTGCAAATAAAGTACTAGGTACAGGAAAGCACATCCCACTAATGGTATTGGGGAGCAATTAAATATAAGTCATTGTCTGGAAAGGATTAAACTCACGTGGAATCACTGTAAATTCATGAACAATGAATGCTTGCTGGCATCATCACTGGCCAGAAGTTGTCAACAATTTCAAAGGATTTCCATTGATTGAAAATAAAATCAAGGAAATTGTATAGGCAGTGAAAGATTTTCAGATATGAAGAAGGAAAAGTTATTGAATTAATATAGAATGATGATCATGAAATGACAAATAAAGAATTAAATGATCTTAAAATGTCAGCCATTGGTGAAATGAAAGCAGCCATAGTGAAGAAGATAAAGAGCTTTAAATGTACAAGAAGTTAAACAAATTGTTAAAAAAAGCACAGGAACTGCCCAATTTTGTAGTGGAGAATAATCCAAATGAAGAAAAAAAGAGTACATTGTATGAAAGGTAATAGAAAACTTTGCTCTCCTTACCGCAAAATATTTAATGAGTTGCATCAGACATTGTCCCAAGCAAAAATCATCAGCTATTAAAAAAATAATTGTATCATGGGCCTGCTTATTAAGCAGTAATGGAAATCCTTTGAATTAACATTTGTTTAATTTTTTCCATTCAGGTACAATAATATTTAGGTAGGTACACTGCTCAAAAAAAAAAAAAAAAAAAAAATGGGACAATGCTATATCTCCCGTTCTACTGGGCCGATTGACAAAATTCAAACTACGTTTTTCATGTCTCGAAGGCGCGACTTAGGATATATATTAGATTTATATATAGTACTATTCTAACATAGGTATTTTGACACAATCGGACTTTTTCTGAAATAACATACCAATTTTTTTACATATTTCGATTCTACGACTCAAATTATGCCAGAATACCAAGTTTTGTAAAAATCGTACGAATAGTTTTTAAAATATTAGCTCCTCAATGTTAATTGAAGTTGGCAAATATTTATTAATATCTCTTTTTTATTAAACCTTTTTGATTTTTTCTCTCACATTTCGAAATTTGGTTCATTCCAAATAAAATTTACCCATTTTTTTGCGTTTTTTAGTTTTTAAATTTCTATTTTTAAATAATTTCTATTGATTTTTCGAAAAAAAAATTTTGAATTATAACCTATAAAATTTTTACCATCATCTTAAAGTAGGTGTATTTTTAAGCATATCTGCAAAAAATTAGACTTTTTTATTCAAAATTTTTCTAAGATATACACGAATTTACATATTTTCGCGTTTTGAAATTTGGCACCTTTTTTTTGAGGGCGGGCGATAATAACGCCAAATGTGGTCTATGGATTTTTGTTACACTGAATTGCCACAGCTATTTTTAACCTTAAATTCAAGTAAAATTTTTACGGAGAATTAATTATATGAAATTTTTTCCCTCAATGATGCGTAATAAATATTTATTAATACTATATGAAAGGCTTATTTTTTTAAATTATAGATGATATTATTCAAATTTTTAAAATTTTTTTTTTTTTTTAAATTTCTCTCGTATCTTTTCTTTTTTAAAAAATTTAAGAGTAAGTTTTTGAAAGAGTAAGAGTAAATTTTTACCTTCGGCGTTTTATCGTCTGCTACTTTACTTCGTTTAAATCGAATTGTCTAAAACTGAGAATTTTCGTTTGATATTTATTTGAATTTTTATGACATTAACTGCATAATTTATTTCTAAACAAACTGTTGCTTTTGAAGTGGCTGAAAGAGCGGCTGATACTATCATCCATATTTTTAAAGCGCACAGTATATTTTTATAGAAACATAAGATTTAGAATAATCATTTTTATAAAAGTCAAATTATGATATAAACATACAACCCTCTAGAGACTGAATTAATGGAAGTTCAATGGTTATGTAGAAATGATCTGCAGCTACTTAATGGCTGGATAAGTCAGCAGATTCTGTGGACAAGTAAGAATAATTATATAAACGACCACCAACATTCTGGATTCAATTAAACAACGAGGATACGATGTTTATAAAAATGAATTTAAGAAGTTTTAAACACATAAAAAAGCAACTCATTTTTTATCCTAAAATGTATTTTTGTGCGTAGCGTATTTTCATTATATCCTTAAAATTCTAATTTAGAATGTAATTGTCAAGAACTGAATCCTAATCATCAGTAATATAATAAGTAATTATTACGGTTATTAATAAATCCTTCTTATAAAGTAATTGCAAATATTTCAAAAAACTTTCTGTCTGAATGCAAACATTTTTCTATGCAAATATTTTTAATTTTATATTAATCAAGATTGCACACCATATTACTTATTTCCACTTCAATTCTTACCGTCAGTTCTAGTATAGTAGAATTTACAAATCAATTATATTTAATTAAGGATTGGATTGGATTATTTAATTATGGCAAAGCACACGAGGACTATCTGCCTAAAGGGAGGGATGCCTTCGTGGAGGACTTTCTAAGGGAAACTGGCCGTATATACACGTTACACATGGGGAAAACCACGAAAACCGCCCATGCGGCCAGCCCGTTCGCGGGATTCGAAACTCGAACTGAACTACCAGTGTTCAGCGTCTTTACCGCTCGGCCGTTGGTGGGCTATTTAATTAAGGAATGACCATCTAAGTTAAGAGAAACAGCGTAACGTAACAACAATTTCAATTATTGGTTCCGTATCTTTCATGTTACTCCCGATTGGCAAGCTACATGATTTTTAATGAGTATTCGGATTTTGCTAGTAACTTCACTTGGAAATCGCGCTTAAACTTAAACTAGGTTAGTTGGTTATTTGAAATATAGAAAGAACATGGAGCTATTTGATTAAGATGCTTTCATAGAGAACCTTTGTAAAGAGAACCTAAAAAACTACGAAAACCAACCATGCAGCCTGGGTTAGACTTGAGCAACAAACAATTAGTATTTAACAATCTTTTCTTTTTCAAATGCTAGGCAACTGGATGAGGCTCCAATTAAATCTCCAATTTAATTTTATTTGTAAATATTTAAAATATTGTTGTATTCTTTGACACAAAAAGCAGAATTTAAGTTTTGTTAACTCGTTAGTAAACTACCAAGCCGTAGTGCAAATGAATATTCAATTTCTTTGGCAATAATTGTATTCACTTAATATTCTTGGAATATGAGCTAAAGAAGGAATGTTCTCGGAAGATTAAAGAAGTGTTTAAATCCAGTGAGTGATATTAGGTTTGTCTTACAAGCTCAGGATCAAAACGATTCTGCAATTGCCTGAGTAGTTGACTTGTAAATGGCTGTGAATTAAGCAGATGACTTTTAATCTTACGTTATTCAGTCAGAAAACGTATTCCAAATGTTTTGTATTGCATGACAATGCATCTTTTCATTATTCAATAACCATCGGAGAATCGGAGAAACGCTTGTGTTTCCGAAAATAAGTATGTGTACTCAATCGTCCTGCATGTTCTTCAAATTTGTCTTCTTGTGATTTTTTTTTTTTTTTTTTTCCAAAAACTAAAGTTGCCTCTCAAAGGAAAGTTTTTTTGACATTGAAGAGACAAAAGGATATATGACATCTACTTTTAGAGGCATGTCAAAAAACAGATCTCTACAAACCCTTCTCTTCCATTACATGTTGTGCAGTCAGACAAAAAGTTGCATCAGCGTAAATTCTATAATCTATTTTTATTACACTCTGATTACTTTATTAACATACAGTGAATGAATATATACTAAATCTTTTACTTTCAGCTTAAGTAATTCGGAATTGTTGTCGGAACTAGGACTTAGAAGATAAGTCAAATTGAATATTTCGATAACCCAATAAATTCAAGTTCGAAATTTCAATATTTTATTTTCGGAGGGAGGGGAAATTTTTTCAGTTTTGGTCCATTATCCTAAGTATATTTGCTTCGATTCTTTATTTTTCCATAAAAGCGAAAATTTTACGCATGGTATACATATAACGCATAGCTTCAAATTAAAATTTAATAATATACAGAGTGGTTATAATTAAAGTTCCACATTGAAACGGTCATAAAAGGAAAACTACTGGATCAAATGTTATCAAATTTGGAAATCGTGTAAAGGAGGTCATGGGAATTTATTTTCCGCGAAAAAAAGAAGTTCGAAACCTCACCACCAGGGGGAAATGGCGCTGTATGCAATATTGTTAAACGAAATATGGGTCGGAATCTAACTTAACCTTTGTTAAACGGGTTTAATATGTTGTATACCCTTAAGAAACTTTGAAGTAGGCAAATTACCATTTAAAGATGTTAAATTCGATAAAATGTCGAGTGCGCCATCCCTGTAAGTGAGAATTCGTCCGTGAAAACCACGAATTAGCGATTAGAAAATGTGAGATCGCAAATCACTCTCACAAGTGCGTACAATCTGAAAATCATTTCCTTACAGATCGCTAATTTGTAATTTTTTAAGCCTGAATTCGGTACTAAAACATGAAAATACTGATTCAAAACGCTTTTAATCGATTTGGGCCAAAAAAATCTCTCATGTTATCTATCTAGTTCCATTGCATTCTCCTACTGCATTCAATTGCATAACAGTCATTTCACACCGTTTAGTGTTGAATGACAGCTAGTTTTATAACTGAACCATTTTTTCTGAAGAGCAGTCGACAGCTGGACCACTGTGATTGCAGCTCACTTAGAGTCAATGTTAAAATGTTTCGTGATACATGAACTGCAGTAACGTGGCATTTTAGATACTACGATTTTTATGCAGGGCTGGGCACCACCTCAAGAGCGTCGCATAGTTACTTAGGCAACATTTCACGAATGAACGTCTTATAGGCCAACACTTCCCCTCTTCCCACCAGACCTCAACCTCTGTGTCTTTTGTCTCAAAAGCACTGTTTATGGTGATAATCTAAACAATTTGGCAGAAATGAAAAATGTGATACACTGTAACATTCGTCCTGATATGCTATGTGTAACGTGTATACGAGCCAGTTTCCCTTAAAAAGTCCTCTACGAAGGCATCCCTCCCTTGAGGGAGATAGCCCTCGAGTGCTTTGCCGTAATCTAATAAACCAAACCAAAACCAAACCTGATATGCTAAGAGCTGCTGTTGAGAATGCAGTAACATGATTTAACTTGCTTTCGGAAAATGCTGGACGCTACATTGAACATGCTTTGTAACACGTTTCGGAAAATATTAAACACATTTTAAACAGATGTTTTCGTGTCTTATTTCATTTAACAATATTGTATACAGCGCCATTTTTCCCCTGGTGGTGAGTTTTTGAACTCTTTTTTTTTTTCCGCGGAAAATAAATTCTCATAACCTCCTTTACACGATTCCCAAGTTTGATAACATTTGGTCCGGTAGTTTTCCTTTTATGACCATTTCAAATTGAAACTTTAATTATAACCACCATGTAAAATAAAGCTTTAAAAGTTCTGACAGTTTGGTTCAAGTCCCAGCTTTAAAAATTATATATATAAATATAAATTTTTATATTAATTCTCTTAGAAAGCATGTTTTTAAGAAGCTAATTTTTCTCTCTCGCGTTATAGATTGTATAAAAAAACATGATCTTTAGTATGATTTAGATTGTTTTCAGCCGATATAAGAATCGGGTCACTCGGTGGTACAGAATAAACCCTGCTGGACTGTTTTATTTCTTTGTCATTTAGCAAAAAATCTTTTAATTAAAATATTTATCCTTTGGACTTCGCTTTAAACTTTATTTATAGTTAAAATGACTAGAAAATGAAAAGCTGTCTTTAGCTGAAACGCAATTCATATAATTGATATTTTAAAAAATTGACAAGAATGCAAAATGTATGGAAGTCTAGCAAGTCGAAAAATCTTAATTTTCTTGTGTGAGCACTGAAAATAACTGTAGAAGGAAAGAAGAAAATTAGGGAGAAAAGTAAGCAAAAATTTGCAGGGAAAATTTGGCTGTCAGACGTACCAAAGATGTTCAAAAAGTTGGACGCTTTTGAATATACTTTCAGGATACTTCAAAGAATTTAGGTGTTCAAAGAGAAAACACTTGGACGTGTACACCAGCAAATACCATCAATTGAGCTTGTGTTAACAGAAAAGACAAAACGATATCATTGCAGATTAAAGTGAAGAGCGACTGGTTTTTTTAACTATATGGTTGTGTAAATTACGTTATAAAACATCATATCGTATCATAAATGGTGAATCCCATGATTTTCCTCAGTCGAATTATTTGAAGATTCAGGAGTTTATCCAGTGATGTATGTGGATGTCACTAAACTTAAAGATTGTTTTTTTCCCTTCCTGATGAAACAGCGGCCGAGGGGTAAAGTCGCTGAACACTGGTAGTTTGGTCCGAGGTTCGAATCCCGCGAACGGGCTGGCTGCATGGGCGTTTTCGTGGTTTTCCCCATGTGTAACGTGTATGCGAGCCAGTTTCCCTTAGAAAGTCCTCCACGAAAGCATCCCTCCCCTTAGGCAGATAGCCGTAGTGTGCTTTGTCATAATAAAATAAACCAAAACCTTTTGATGAAACCAGTCTTTTCTTTCATCTCATACCTTCAAAATGTTTAGCCTCTAAAGACTGATAAAGGCTCTGACGAAATACTTCGTGAAGAAGAACTTTCTAAGGGAAACAAGCTGTCATACGCGTTACACATGAGAAAATCCACGAAAAAGCCCATGCAACCAGCCCGTTTACCGGGGTTCGAACCCCGGAGTGAACTACCAGTGTTCAGCGACTTTACCGCTCGGCCGTTTGTGGGCCTTTATGAAATGGAAGGCGATAACTTTATTTAAAATGATTGTCAGAAATACCAAAATGTTTCGAAAAGTTGGATACTTTTCAATATACTTTCAGAATGCTTAAAGAAACAGAAGAAAAAAATAAATTTTTCGTAAAATTTAGTATTCGTATTTTTTTTAAATTTAAAACTTTTCAATCTTATGATATTTGATTCTTGCGATTTCAAAAATAAAATATTTGACTAAAAATATGAATAACATTTTAAGAAACCAAATGTAGGAATAAAATTGTGTAAAGCAATGGGCACAATGATAAAACTGTTTAAAGCAGTGTATGCAAGTCATCCTAAGTTAAAATGTCGGTTTTATACATCTCTCTTATTTATATATATTTTTCTGAACGGAACATTGAAAGGCGTGTAAAACTGTGCTTTACTGTATTTTCTCTTTTAATATAGTATGCAGTTTTCAAACGCATCGTAGTCTGGGTTACAAAGTATTGTTCCGAAAGAAAAAACGCAAGTTCAAATAAATAAAATCAAATTCTGGAAAATTTGATATTAATAAATATATTTAAAATGCTCAGTTCGAAGGAATAAATAAATAAATAGAAAATTTTAAAACAATTATCTGAAGAGACAATGCAACACAAACAATTAAAATAAAAGTATAAAAATTTAAAAATGACCTAAAATAATAAGCTATGACGAAAAATATATATAAAGAAAACTATTTGAAAAAATAAATAATAAAATAAATAAACGCTGCACCTTTATTTACGCAGTTCGAATAGGTAAATAGAAATTTTTTTAAAACAGTTATTCGAAAAAAAAAAAAAAAAAAAAAAAAAAAAAAAAAAAGTGCAACTTAAAACAATTAAATGAAATTCGAAAAAGGAAAAAATTACTTAAAAATAAGTTATAATTAAAAATATAATATAAAGAATATTATTTGGAAAAAAGGAACGATGGTGACTTTTTTTCCTCTCTCACGGAAAGGAAACTAGGTTGCCATATATTAAGAAGTTCGCCAAGTGAAGTATTCTTGGCGCAAACTGACAAAAAAGTGCCAACATAAAGTTTGTGAATTTCTCCTGTAAATTTCGCTCCAAATTTTACAAAATTTCATATTTAGGCGTAATTTGAGTCGTAGAATCGAAATATGTAAAAAAATTGGTATGTTATTTCAGAAAAAGTCCGATTTTGTGTCAAAATACCTATGTTAGAATAGTGCTATATATAAATCTAATATATATCCTAAGTCGCGCTTTCGAGACATGAAGAACGCAATTTGAATTTTGTCAATCGGCCCAGTAGATCGGGAGATATAGGACTGTCCCATTTTTTTTTTTGAGCAGTGTACAAATCATACTTTCTAAATCTGAGATATTCCTAATCTGTTTTTCCATAGAAAGTTAACTTTGCAGAATGTGATTTTGTTATGCATGTAATGCATTAATAATGCTTGGCAAGGGTGTTTTGAAAGAAAATTATGTTTTTGTTGGTAGAAAATTATATTTTAATGAAGCAGATGCACTTATTTTTTATTGCATAACAAATTAAATTTTGGTGTAATATTTGACACTACTGAAGGTTTTTTGAATCCAAAACAACTTTTTGAAATTCAAATTTGATGTAAGGTATTTGCAAAACTATGTTTTTAAAGTTTTCAAGTGATCTATAATAAATGCAATTAACGTTTTACAGTTACTGTTTTCAATTATAAAACTGAAGATGGTTGAAAACATTTTGAATGAATCATTTTCTTCCTTATTTTTTCAAGTATTCATCTTTTTAATAAACCTTGAATTTTTGTCATTTGAACTAATTGTAAAGAATGAACTCTGGTTTAAGTGCCATGAAACTTTTGTTAATAATAGTATTTCAGCTGTTTGCATGAAATATGTTTACTTGCTGTGTAAACTAATATGACATTTAAAGAATAAATATACTGTATAAAATCATTTGATGCTGTTTTCATGCTTGACATTGTTTTAAAACAAATAAGTTAGTATAAGTGTGATTTTTTTATGTTAATGGTATAAAGTCTTGTAGTTCATACTTGTGATCAAATCTAATATGATTACATTATATAAATTTCAAAAATTTCATAGATGTATTAATGAGAAACTTCAGTAAAGTAGTTTTCTTTTCGAACAGAATTTCTCTTCTGTTTCTTTTCATTATTTTATTATATTCAGAGTATGAATATAAATATCACATTTTTAGATTTTCATCATATTTTTGGTGGCAGTAAGCAATGATGTATGCATAGAATTCTTTAATAGCTCTTGATTTATAAAATCATTAATTATTCCTGATTATATATATTAGCTAAAGTTATGTTTTGAGACTTTCATTTTGTGTATAAAATCATCTTTTTCTAATCATTTTTTTTTTTTTTCTTTATGAAGCAAATATAATTATTTATTTATTTATTTTTTTTTTAATGCAGTTTCATCTACTTCCAGTGATTCATCCACTACAGAACAACATAATCAGTTGAAGGTTGGTACAATTTTATTTTAAGCAGTTACATTGATAATTATTGCAGTCCTTCTTTAGTTATGAGTCATTAATGATTTCTGTGTAACTGTTAAGAAAGACCATAATAGATGTAAGTGTGTTAAAAAAAGACCATAACATTTTAATATCAGACATATAGGAGGTGTTTTATTGTTTTAAATTTGCAGGTATTTTATCTTATATTTGACTCTGGAGAATCATTTCATTCAATTTATTTGAAATTAAATATTTTCTTTAATATGTTTTGCTTTTAATAGTAGCTGAATAATTGACTCTGAACAATCATTTCATTCAATTTATTTGAAATAAAATGAAATAGTTTCTTTAATATGTTTTGCTTTTAACAGTAGCTGAATAAAGAGACCAGTAAACACTAGTTGCTTATCATATCCAGGGTTTTGTAACTTTCTCAATAATTGCTGCTGTAATGCTTAATAAATACGCATTTAACTTTAGTAACAGAAGTTCATGTTGCTAACTGATTGAAACTGACACACAAATAACATTCATTTTAACAAACTCTTAAATTATTAATAATTTTCTATATTGTAGTTTGCAAAAATAATGTGTACATATGTAGAGAGATAGAAAAGTGGGTACATATATTGGGAGAGAAAAAGAAAGTTCTGTTATTTGTGTAATTTCTTATGCATTGTATTATGGAGTTATAATATTCCATTTTCAAATTTTTAGAATTCTAAAAAAGAGGTCGCAAAGTATTCAGAATCACCACCAGTTATACCCTTAAAAACTAAAGATGCATTTGAAGTTCCAGAGAGTTTTAGGGTAAAGGGTAAGTGCAAAAAAGGAATTTTTAATAATTTAGAAATACAGTCAAAAGTCGTTAATCCGGACTGGTCGGGACTTCGGCGATTCCGGATTATCGATTTTTCCGGATTATAGATCATCAGTTTAAATCTTGTAAGATGGCATGCAGAAATTCTAAAATTAAAAATATGAAACCGTAATTTATGAAATAAAGAACAATTATGATCTAAAGGGTATCAAAATTTACAAAAAAAAAAAAAAAAAGCTTAATATTTATTTGTTTACTTTATTAAACATTTCTTTCAATGTAAGTTGTTTAAGTTGCTTCGTTTTATGTGATAATACTTTCTCTTTAATTCTATAAACAGACATAATTTCTTGTTCAGTTACTAAGTTCCGCTGTTCAAGTCCCGTTAATTGATGTGCCGAGAATACCGACTAACTTGTCAATCGAAATGTTTTCGTTTTCACTAACCTCTCTGTCACATTCTTCATGTCTTTATCCATTTTTTGCAGCAATTCCACTTTTTGTTTGTTGGACATCGAAACATACTTTCGTTTTATAGATCCTTTGGAAGTTCCAGCATCGTAAATTCTATTTGACATAATCGAAAGTTCAAGTTTACTTTTATAAAATTGCTCTTACAGTCTGCAAAAAATAATAAGCGGGATCCAATTCGAAGATTAAGGAACAACGCAATCATTAACATTAACTGAAATAGATAATTAGATAATTTTAGCTTACACCCTCCGTTATACATTAAGCACACAGGCGAAAATGTATTCTGCACTTGCGCACACGCATATGCGCAGCAGTCAAGGTCTTATGCGCACGCGTAAAAGGCCTGTGCACATGTGCCAACGCGGCGCATGTGCAGAAAGTTTTTAGCTTTGAGGTCCAGATTACAGATCATTCCGGATTATGGGTGTCCGAATTAACGACTTTTGACTGTATAATATTTGATTAAAATTTTTTCAGAAATTTATTATTATTAAATATGCTTATCAGTTAGAGAATGTTTGATTCTTCGTGTTACAGTAAGGTATAAACATGAATATTTTTTTAAAACTTAAACAAATGATTGGTTTGTAAACGAAACTTGCATTATCTGTGGGAAGTCCACCTAGAGCAGGGGTTCTCAACTGGTTGTATGCCTACCACTGGTGGTATGCAAGAGAAAAATAGGTGGTACACAAAGAAGCTAAGTATTTTTAACTATTAAATTCAAAAATTAAAACCTCAACATCCTGATTGAGTTTTTCCTCTAACACTCGTAAATTTATGCGATCTCAAAAGAGCTTTGTTCATGAGGGGTGGTGATAGTAGTACTTGTTGTGGTGGTACTAAAGGTTTTCAGTTTTTGTTTAGAAGGTACGCATTAGTCAAAAGGGTGAGAACTGCTGACCCAGAGCATATCTGAAATGATGATTTTGTGATATGTAAGTATTGTAAGTGCTTCAGCTTTTGAAAAATGCACATTCTTGATTTAAAACAGTATATTAAATAGCTACAGCATTTTAAAATAATGATTAATCTTGTTCCCATTTTGTAACAATTTGATATGGGAACTGAGGAGAATTCTGAGCTATTGATCTAAGAGTTGAATATCAACTGCTTAAGTTGGTGTAGCTGGTGACAGACTGTGGAACAATTCAGCAGTCAAACAAATCTGGAGGCTTCTAGATAATAGTGGAATTCATCTGGTTTGGTATAACTGTTGTCTGAAGTATTTTTCATTTAGATAATTTATTATTGCAATATTGGGTTGGCAACTAAGTAATTGCGGATTTCACTCATAGATGGCTTCAGTTGAATTTTTAGAGTTGCAGACGTAGTACAAATGTAAAACACATTTTGTTATTTGATAGTTGGCAATTCAGCTGTCAATCAGTAAAAAATGTTTTTTGATCGGTTGCGTAGCTTTCATTTGGCGTTCGTTGAAAAATGGAAAATCAAAAGGAACAGTTTCGTCATATTTTGCTTTTTTATTTCCGCAAAGGGAAAATACGCATCGCAAGCTCATAAAAAGTTATGTGCTGTTTATGGTGATGAAGCCTTAAAAGAACGGCAGTGTCAAAATTGGTTTGCCAAATTTCGTTCTGGGGATTTTTCACTCAAAGATGAAAAACGCTCTGGTCATCCAGTTGAAGTTGGTGGCGACCTAATCAAAATAATCGATTCAGATTGTCACAGTACAACAAGTGAGATTGCAGAGAAGCTTCATGTATCACATACATGCATTGAAAATCACTTAAAACAACTTGGCTATGTTCAAAAACTCGATAAATGTGTTCCTCACGAACTGAAAGAAACGTATTTAACGCAACGCATTAACAGCTGCGATTTGCTAAAGAAACGTAATGAAAATGATCCATTTTTTAAATGACTGTTAACTGGCGTTGAAAAATGGGTTGTTTACAACAATATCAAGCGGAAAAGATCGTGGAGCAGGCCAGATGAACCAACTCAAACAACATCAAAAGCTGATATTCATCAAAAGAAGGTTTTGTTACCAGTTTGGTGGGATTACAAAGTAATTGTCTACTTTGCACTCTTACCACCCAACCGAACGATCAATTCTGATGTCTACATTGAATAACTAATGAAATTAAACAATGCAGTTGAAGAAAAGCGGCCCGAATTGACAAATCAAAAAGGTGTTGTATTCTATCATGACAATGCAAGGCCACACACATCTTTGGTCACTCGGCAAAAATTATTGGAGCTTGGTTGGGATGTTTTACCACATCCAACATATAGTCCTGACCTTGCACCATCTGATTACTTTTTGTTTCGATCTTTACAAAACTCCTTGAATGGTAAAAATTTCAATAATGATGATGATGTCAAATCGTACCTGATTCAGTTTTTTTGCTAATAAAAACCAAAAGTTTTATGAACGTGGGATTATGATGCTGCCTGAAAGATGGCAAAAGGTCATTGATCAAAATGGGCAATACATTACAGAATAAAGTTATTTAGTTCCATGAAAAAATTGTCTTTGATTTTCTAAAAAAAAATCCGCAATTAATTAGTTGCCAACCCAATAGTATTGTTTATTTAACAGTATTAACAGCTGATTTTATCACTATTAATGAAGCAAAATGGCTCTTAACATTTTTTAATCTCGCTTCTATATATATTCAAAATAGCTCTTCAGTGAGCCTTATTTCTTATTAGTTCTGGAGCACATGCTTCATGATTGTACTCATGTTTACAAAATTCATTACCCAAAAGAGTGCAATTTACACAGGAGTTCTAATACTGAATTTGCACTAATTGCAAAGGTTTGCTTGCAATGATGGCCATTTTTTAAAATGAAAAATGCTCCTTAGTCACTTATATGTATTTAAATCCTGTGTTTATCTTCTGATGATGGTATTAATGAAATAGAATAATAATTCTCACATAATCTTGAAGCTGAGTTTAAAATATCATTAATTACAAAATTGAATTTTAAATCCTTGTGAATTGTGGAATTCTTGAGGAATCGGGAGCTTCTATGAGAATTCTGAGAGTCTTAATCTGGAGAATTTGCGTCACATTTTAAATTCAAATGAATGGATGAAAGCCTGAAAGTCAAGCCAAATCAAGCCTGAAATTGCTGAAAGCAGACTCCTAAAAAATCACTGTATGATTGTAGAAGCTTGTGGGGCATTATTATTGTCTGAGGAATGTTTTCTTGGTATAAATTAGGTCTCTTGATTCCTGAGCAAGCCTACCATCAAGTAACAGGTGTATATCTACATCCTTGTTGATTAAGTACACTTGTGCAAACTCATGGTCTTCCTTATAGCTGATAGTATCTTTTAGTAGGATAGCTGTGGTTGTTCTCAGACTATGGACAAAACCTTCAGCTTTTTCCCCTGGTCTCTAAATTCACAAGGCTTTAAGAAAGTTGGGAGCACCTCAACCAGTTTTAATGAAGGGATCTTAGACTATATATCCATCAGTAATTTCAGATGCACTGCAGCCTCTTGGCTCCGGATATCTTCAGAACCACCCAGCATCTCCTGAGTTGCTTGTGAAGACCTGATTGCTATGCATATGTGTGTCAGTTGGTTATAATATGTGATTTAACTGTGCATAATGTATAAAATTGCTCAAAATGATTCAAATGCTGATGTTAAAAATGTTTTTAAAACACAGACAATAAATACGTAATAACTGTATTGAATACAGTTAAAGTATTTTTAGTCAAATTATTTATAAATTACTTGTTATTATTGGTCATTGCACTCATGATATACCCATATTATACTCACCTGATATACTCATGGCGAAGATGTTTAGGAGCAGGTAATTCAGTTTATCAAGCTGAATTAGTTGCACTGGGGAAAGCAACAAGACTAGCCACAACCTTATGTGCCAATAAACATTCAATCCCAATCTTTTCAGATTCTGCCTCTGATTTAACAGCACTCTGCAACTTCAAGACCAGAAACAGTTTGGTTCATGAAATACAGCTACAGTTGTTAAATTTTCATTCCTCACATCGTCCTCAACTTTTCTGTGTTCCCGCAACACATGGGAATTTAGGGAAATGAAATAGCTGGCCATTTGGTGAAAGAAGCAGCTATGTCCACATGTGCACAAGAGACAGACCATTTGGTGAAAGAAACAGCTATGTCCACATATGTACAAGAGACAAAAACCCGCTATTGATTTCACACCACAAAGTCTCTGCATGGCAATCTTTGACACAGCAATGGCAAGTGAGATGGGAAACAGCTTTAACTGGAAGAACCTTCAGAATGGTTTCAGAAGTATCGACAAATTTGCTGGGCAAAATCAGTTGGATCATGTGGTACCTCACTGGACATGATCCTTTTCTAACCTATCTTCATTATTTTCAGATTAGTGAAACAGATCTATGTGACTGTGACCAGAACGTTATACCTTTGAATGCCCGAAAACTAAAGAATTCCACCTCAATAAGCCAGCTAATGCAAATTGGTTAGCTTTGCTCAGTGCCTCTCTAAAAAACAGAAATATACTAGCAAAGTTGGCAAAGACCCTCTTGCACTGCCGTGAGCGTTACCATGCAGTGTCACAACAGCATAATGTTTATTAGTTGCTAGTTACAGATAGAAATGTAACACATAATGAACAAATAAATACTAGAATCTGTAAATTATACAATAACTGTGATAAACTTCATTTATGTAACAATCGTAGATATGTGACTTGGCATTTACATTTAATATATTTTTTAATCAAGCCCTTTCTCTTCTATACTTTGTTCTTCTTCTTCTCCCCCTTTTTTAATATATATATATATATACAGTCAAAAGTCGTTAATTCAGACACCCATAATCCGGACCTCAAAGCTACAAACTTTCTGCGCGTTGACGCATGCTTACGGCTGCGAATATGCGTGTACGCGTGCGCAAAATACGTTTACGAATGCGCGTATAATGTATAACGAATGGTATAAGCTAAGCTAAAATTATCTAATTCACTTAATGTTGCAGATTGCGTTGTTCCTTAATCTTTGAATTGGATTCGGCTTATTATTTTTTGCAGACTGTTAGAGCAATTTTATAAAAGTAAGCTTGAACTTTCAATTATGTCAAATAGAATTTCTGATATATATTTACTAATATGTAAAGGATCTACAAAGCGAAAGTATGTTTCGAAGTCCATTAAACAAAAAGTGGAATTGCTGCAAAAAATGGATAAAGGCATATCCTTTGTTTATCTAAACTTTAACGTTTGTTTATCTAAACGTTGTTTATCTTTAACACCGCCGTGCAATAAATTGGAAGTTGATCTGTCAGCACTATCCTTATCTTCAGGGCAGATGTTTTTATTTTATTTGGCTTATAATTCCTTACTAAATGTAGTATTTCATCTCGATGTACTCCGTCTTTGATATGATTTAAATCAAATTCCTCGTCATTATAATTCGCTTCCAATAGCGAAGAAAGTGACAGAGGTTATTGAAAACGAAAAAATTTCGATTGGCAAATTAGTCGGTATTCTCGACACAGCAATTATAGGACTTGAACAGCGGAACTTTGCAACTGAACAAGAAATTATGTCTGTTTATAGAATTTAAGAGAATGTATTATCACATAAAAAACGAAGCAACTTAAACAACTTACATTGAAAGAAATGTTTAATAAAGTAAACAAATAAATATGAAGCTTTTTTTTTTTTTTTTTGTAAATTTTTTATACCCTTTAGATCATAATTGTTCTTTATTTCATAAATTACGGTTTCATATTTTTAATTTTATAATTTCTGCATGCCATCTTACCAGATTTAAACTGATGATCTATAATCCGGAAAAATCGATAATTCGGAATTGCCGAAGTCCCGACGAGTCCGGATTAATGACTTTTGACTGTATATATAGTATATACTCCCTTCAAGCATTAAATGTTGTAATATGCTAAACCCACAGTGTAGAATAAAATATCATTGTGAATAATGTAAAAGGGTAAAGATGCATGAATTTGTACAGCATGTAATGTTGAATATAACATAATTATATGTAATCTGCGAATAATGAATGTTATACAGTCAAAAGTCTTTAATCCGGACTCGTCGGGACTTCGGCGATTCCGGATTATCGATTTTTTCCGGATTATAGATCTTCAGTTTAAATCTGGTAAGATGGCATGCAGAAATTATAAAATTAAAAATATGAAACTGTAATTTATAAAATAATGAGCAAATATGATCTAAAGGGTATCAAAATTTACAAAAAAAGAAGCTTAATGTTTATTTGTTTACTTTATTAAACATTTCTTTCAACGCGCGCATGCGTAAAGCATACCTTACGCATAGCCGGAATTAGAAAATTGCAACCAGAAAACTATTTGATTTGTATTCGTGATATGTATAATTACGAGGAATTTGATTTAAATCATATCAAAGACGGAGTACATCGAGATTAAATACCACATTTAGTAAGGAATTATAAGCCGAATAAAATAAAAACATCTGCCCTGAAGATAACGATAGTGCTGACAGATCAACTTCCAGTTAATTGCGTGCCGCGACACCCCCCCCCCCGCGCGCAGAGCAGCGTGAAATTGATAAACATATTTCGGAACGGTTAAATAAACAAAGGATATACCTTTATCCATTTTTGTAGCAATTCGTTTTTTGTTTGGTGGACATCAAAACATACTTTCGTTTTCTAGATCCTTTGGGAGCTCCAGCATCGGAAATTTTATTTGACATAATTGAAAGTTCAAGCTTGCTTTCATAAAATTGCTCTTACAGTTGGCAAAAAATAATAAGCCGGATCCAATTCGAAGATTAAGGGAAAACACAATCATCAACATTAACTGAAATAGATAATTTTAGCTTATACCGTCCGTTGTACATTAAACGCGCACGCGTAAAACGCCTATGAGCATGCGTCAACGCGGCGCATGCGCAGAAAGATTTTAGCTTTGAGGTCCGGATTATAGGTCATTCCGTATTATGGGTGTCTGAATTAACAACTTTTGACTGTAGTCTAACAAAGCATGGACTTGTGCACCATGTAATATTTTATGTAATTTAACAGTGTGTAACCTGCAACGCTTGAAACAATAAATGTGTGTCTGTCGGCATCTGGCCGGATGTGATCTCGACGATTAGAAGTAACGAGAAGTTAAATTATTTGTATTAATTATTTTATATTTTAAAATATTTTTGTTGGTATAAATTATAGATAAAAATGTACTTAAGTATTCTACTTCTTCTTTATATATATATATATATATATAATGTTGTATGAACTTAAATCCATTTAGTGCGAATACAAGTTATTATTACTTGCGCAATTGCTGCAAAGTTAGTTAATAATAATTTATTTCCTAAACAGTATTGATTAATTGATTATATTATCTCCTAAGTTTAATTAAAGTAGAATTATTTTAAAAGTGTGCATCCATACTGGTAAGTTATATTTTGAAAAACATCTTCAAAACATCTTTCAAAATATAACTTACCAATATGGATGCACACTTTTAAAATAATTCTACTTTAATTAAACTTAGGAGATAATATAATCAATTAACCAATACTGTTTAGGAAATAAATTATATATATATATATTTTGATCTATTGCACTGTAGAATTAATTTATGTGCTATAAATTTAGCCTCATATTATATCTTCTACAATCTTTGGAAGACCAGCAAATCATAGCAAGCACTTATTGATGATTTTTTGTGAGTAAAAACTTGCTGTATTTTTTTATCTAGCTGATATTTTTTTAACATGCAGTTTAAAAATGGAAAAGAAAGTGATACGATAAAATTAAGACAAACCACAAGAAAAATCAAAATCAAAAGAAATTTAAATGTATTGTTTGCGACCAGTGCTTCAGTGTTAATAATAAATAAAATAAAGATAATAAGCAGAATTTTTCATATTAATTATGCATTTTGATGTTCTCTTTCAGGAAATAGTTCAGAGAAGGGTTGATTTGCATATATCCTATAGAAAGCTCGGTTTTAATGATGTATGAAGATGGCCTGATGCTTGACAAACAGCAATTGTACTTAATTTATTTTTCCTCCAGTGCATTTGAACAAGCATTTTTATTCAATTTTTTAACCTGGTGATAAATGTTATGTGATGTGATGTGATGCCTTACATATATAACTTATTATATTAAGGTGAAAATACTGTTGCTAGATCTGAGATTTCGTTATTAAATTACATAAATAAATAAAATTTATTATATTGTATTTCTTTTCAAAAAGCATTTTTAAAATAGGATTTTTAAACAAGATCATTTTTTAGGATGCCTTTCATATTATTATGAATATTGCAGAGCATTTTATGAGTATCTAATGGTACCTTTCAAAAATCAATTCTTTGTATATAAAATATTAGTAAATATTTATATGTAATTTTCATATAATCATGAAGTCATTTGGAGATCTAATGTGATTAATAAAAATAAATTTTAAAAAATATCAAGCATCCTTTTCTAAAATTATATTGAAATAAATAATAGATATTTTAAAATAAATTATACTTCTCAAACTTTTAATAAAAATAGTGATTCAGGGATTCAAATTTTGTCTTGTAAATACATCATCTAATAATTTTATTCATTTGCTTTTGTTAATAACTGCAGTAAGTGTACTGTCATTGTTTTATTACATTTTAATAAAAAAATTACATGGTGCATTTAGCTAGGAAAATGTTTTGAACAATTTATGCATGAAATGTTGTTTTGATCTAAAAATAAGATGACTTCATTTATAAAACCTTGCATTTTTTGTTTTACAAGTGTCCAATTGATATAAGAAAAAGCTTAATGGTTTGAAAAATAAAAAGCAAGGAAAAAAATGCAAAATGACAGTAACCACTTGCGCTACAACGGAACTTCATGGTTGCGGTGCCGTGCGCTACAATATAACAAGCGGTAAAGTGTCTCATTTATGCCGCTCTGCGTCTGTGAGTGCAATCCAGAGCTGTAACTCGAGAAATAAACATTCTCGTTGTTAGGCGACGTGTGCACCATATTATTTTTGTTTTTGCGATAAATGCCTATTGACATGGTGTTCACGTCACTCGCGGTTTGAGACAAAAGTATCTCACCGTGTGTGGCACGTCTTAGTGCAAGTGGTTAAAAGTCATTTTATATCCAGACCAATACAGTAAACTTTAAAAAAAGAGGGGGGATGTGAATATATGTGGAAGGAAAAAACTTATTTTTCAAAAAATACCATGTTTTTTCCCCCCTTTTATGATAGTCAGTCACTTTTTGCATTCATTCTGCAAAGTCAAGTTTGTTCAGATATTGTTCTGCAGTTGGACAATGTGACTAACTGCTAATGTAGCTAATTTTTATTCTAATTCTATTTTGACATATTTAATTGAAGTATTATAACATAAATTTAAATATTTAAAAATATTCTGTTATAATTGTATTTTGAGAATATCCAAGAAAAATTAAGCCTTTGCTATAAAATTGATTACTAGATCTTTAAGAAAGAGAGGAATATTTTTTAAAATCATTGTTATTGAAATATATGTAGAAGTTTGAGGTTAAAATCAATGTCAGCTTCATGTAGTTTTACAATCTGTTGTGAATTTGTAAGTTTCTTATCTGAAACTGATTGATATTTCCCTGGTCTAGTTTGAATGTATGATAATTAAATACACCAGTTACATGACCTGTAAAATTTTGCTTTTGTTTCACTTCATTTAATGAAAAAGTCACCAAGAAGTAGTTTTTGTTCAATGAACTTTGCTTGAAGCAGCATGTTGTATATACTAAGTAATTCAAAATCATGTTTTGCAATCATTGTATGCAAAAATATGCATTTAATCATGTTCCTCAAACTGACCTTTTAAAAATTTTACTTGCTAAAATTAGCTGTATGTAATACCATTTTTTGTAAAAACTGCATAATTTGAAATGTTTTAGCTGCATGAAGCCTTTTTAATTTGATCTTATTACCCTTAGGCTTTTATCTGGTTATTTATATACTCTAGTTTTTCAAATATTGCATTTGTGACTATGTACTCTAGATTTTTCAAACATTGCATTTTAATGCAGATGTAAATATGACTGATAATATAATTCTCCATTATGTGAGAGTGATGTATCCCTTATATTCATAAAACTATGATATGAATACTTAAGAGTTTCTGTTAAACTAGCAGCTTTCATTGCCAGCAGCTTAAAATAATTATCATAAAAAAGAAAAAATATATAATTTTAATGAGTCCAGCTAGTGATTTCTAGCTAATTTCATAAAAGTATTTAATATTTCTAATTAGACGTCTCATGATTTAAATGCATTTTTGTGTAAATCAAGCATATTAAAAAGCAGAAATATATTCTTAAGAACCACATTTATTGCTTTAAATTTTTTTAGTTTATATTACACTACAGCAAGGTAGTGGCAACACATTGCATAGCAGAGTGTGTCAATAAAAATTGAAAGATAGCTTGCCAACATCGATTTGAAAGACATCCTACATTTTGACAAATGGTAACAGTCTTGTGTGATTGAATAAAATTGTTTAATTTTGAACAGTGTTGCCAATGCTTGCTTTCAATTCGCTGAGTTTATTAGTAAAAGATTCATTAAATTCATATGAAATAAATTTTAAAATTTTGTCTTTGTGGTGCACATGTTTGGGTAAAGGATGACGTATGTTCAAAATTTGGTAGCTCTATTTGTCACTGTTTTTTTTTTTTTTGCAATATGGGGAGTATAGTATACAAAAGTACATTCAAAATGAAAGATTAACATTTCCCATTTTTTTAAACCAAATTTGAAATTCAAAATTCTGGCTTTAACATACAAACATTTGAGTGGAAGACTGTGAATTCAAAAATTAGTGACCATTTTTTCACAAGACGAGGAACTTGCAAATAGATTCTTCATCATCATACTGTTACAGATTAGCTGATAAAAATGATTCAGTCACTTGAATCGGTGTAAAATATATAAATTTTATTATAAAAATATTGTATAAGAAGAACTGTTTTGCAAATTTTTGCTACAGAAAAGATATGCATTAAGTAAATGCAGATAAATTTTTGTAGAAGATACATATCTTTATAGCACAAAATGCATAGAATTTGAATTATTTCAAAAATTTTATTCATAAAGTGGATGTCTAAGAATAAAATAATGTATAATCACATATATAAAAGAGGTAAACAAATAATATTTAATTAAAAGAGAACTATAAGTATGCAAGGTTATTTGCATAAAACTGCTAAAATCACTTTTAAACGTTGATTTAATGTCTAAATAAGAAGAATATATCAAAATGAAGTTGAAAAATTAAATCTTAATGATAGAGTTATAGAAAAAAAATTAAAAATTGAAACAAATTAATTGCAACAGTCTTTCCACTCAAAAATATAAGTGTTACCTTTGTCATATTTTAAAACTCTTGACTATAATTTTGTCTTCAGCCCATTACAAAAGTATATGCTTGTATAAATGTGGCAAGGAATATCGTAATGCAGTTGTGTTTTCATCCTGGTGCTATCAATATGTACATTATGTGTTGCATTTTAAAAGTTTACTTATTGTTGTTATGCTTTTATTTTTGTATGGAATATCTGTGCAGAAGATTTTTGTATATATGTATAATTATTTTTGAAATTTATTGCTAGTGATGCTAAGCATTGTAAAGTTTGTGATTCTTGTTTGAGACTAAATAAAGGATTAATATTTTCTCCCTGTCATTTTTGAATTTCAAAGTTTAGAAATGAGCCTGTTTACAAAAAAAAAAAAAAAAAAAAAAAAAATCTCAATGATATTATCAAAATATTTTTTGGTAGTTGATTTATGTTTATGTATAAATGCTGTTACTTTATTCAAAAATAATGCAATTCAAAAGTGAATACGTCAGTATTATTACCAGCTAGTTTTTTTAAAGGAAATAATTTATACATTGAAATGTAGAGTCAATTAGTTGCACGTAGTTATGCACAGTTTCAGAAAGCTATAAAAAATTACATATAAAATCTGAGCCAGATCTGAAAAAATTAGTTGTTGATATTAACACATCAAATGAAAAAATTTTTTACTTAAATTTTCTCAGTTTAACATGCAGAGAAACACTTTTCAGCTTTTTTTTTTTCTTTCTCCCCCCTCTTTTTTTTTTTTTTTTTTTCTAGAATTAGGCAAAATAATTCTATAAAGTTCCAAATTTCTTTTAGTCCTTAAGTACTAATTGGAGCATGAAATTAATGATGCTATCACTGGGATTTGAACTCAGTGATATTTTGATGCTAGCCCAATGGGCTTCCAATTACAATACAAAGGCATGTCATAAGAAAGCATCAAACTGAAAATTTCTTTTATTCTCCTCCACCTAAAGAGTGACTGAAAAAGGAGAGGCCCAGATCTCCAAATTCAGGTGGTGATTAATTATCATCTTCCACAGTTTAGTTTGGGTACAACTGTAAAATGATTAGAACTTTTTAGAGCAGGAAACTTAAGAAAGTCAGCTATGGCTTTGTGAAGATTCAAACTCTGGACCTCCAGTTGCTTGCCAGACATTCTTCCTATTACACCACAAAGGCATGCAATAAAGAAGCATAAAATTTCTTACGGGTCCATTCCTCTTAAAAATATCTATAGGGCTTTTTTCTTTTTAGGAAAAATTTTATTGTATTAAGTAAGGCATAGTAGTAATATTTGTAATTACGTGAAAGGTCTGAATGCTGCAATCCCTAATAAACACTTCATTTCAAGTCCTCTGAAAAGCTGTATGTGTAAAGGAAGGTAATGGAATACAAAAACTTCAAGAACAACAAAAAGTAAGATTATTGAAAGTGTTAAAACAATATAATTTTCTTTTTAGTAATGCTTTTGGAAAAGAATTTCACTTAACTTATGAAAGTATAATTTGAAGAAGCTTCAGAATTATGAATATGATGTTGAAAATATAGAATGGACTGAATATGAAAATGATTAAACTCTGCTTGAGAAACAGAGGGGAGTTATCAATGCTCAGATCTAATCTGAGTATCTAACATCCCACCTTTGTCAAATATATGTAAAATATAAGAAAGTTATGAGAAAGCAGGTAAGTGTTGTCTTCTTTAATAAGTTGAGAAGATCGATCAATTTTGATGGACTGATGATAAATCTAGTTTTAATATTGTTTTCAGTGGCCATGGATTGGGGGGGGGAAGAGAAAATTCCGAAGAAAACTTTCACTTATTTATTTTTAGAATGCTTTAT